AGCGCGCGAGAATTGTAGAACCCCCCCTCCGATGTTCTAGAAAAAGCAATTGCCAACTGTAAAGAGTGCACGACACTTTCGAATGATCTAAAGGTTGTTTGGTTGGGTACAAACCAATTCTATAAGGCGCATGGGCATATCGAATGGGCACACGAGGGGGCCGTGCCAAATCCAATGGGCACACCGAACATGGGTACCAAATCCATTGGGCACTCATTCATTCGAATGGGCACGTCACTAAATCCAATAGTGACCTGTCCGAATCCATCGAGAAAATGTCCAAGTCAATTGAAAAATGGTGTATTAATATTTTTCGAGATTTTGTGCATCTGGATGCCACCAAAGCTCAAAAATTTAGTATGCCACAATTTTCTTGAGAATCGGGAGTTTTATGGCATTAAAAAAATGGACCGATTTGAAGTCTTGCACTTCAGTCCGAAATCGAATAATTTTTCCATAATTCAACTGGCATCCAGACAACTTTATAAATATTTCTTTTTTCCTTTCTTCATGGGATATGAGACTTTGGGAAAAATTTGAAGACTTGCCAAAACGGTTTATGGCGTAATTTTATGGGGTGGCATCCAGACCAGCCCTTAGGGTGCGTCTGGCAACATTTCAAAAATAATATTCCATTTTCTCACAAAATGGGATTAACCAAAATGCCATTTTCAAAATGGAGGTAAAAGGTCCATTTTTTAATACGGAGTATGGCGTTTTGGACCCCTTCAACGAGTAAATCCCACGTGGAAGTATTTACTGCGGAGTATTGGATTTGGGTTAAACCTCTTCCCGCAAGACATGGTTCAATTTTGATCAGATTTGTTGAATTAGGTCCCCAAAATGGCGTTTTGGGCCTGAATATTGCAATATTTCCCCTTGCCAGACGCACCCGTATACTACACACATGTTGCTTACATGGAGTAGTCACCAGTGAGAACAACTGGCTCTAAAGGCTCGACGGACTAGCTAATGGCTAGCCAATCAAGGCACGGCATCCTAATTATGTACCGTGGATATGGCTGGCTTTCTACTACAGTATGTGAGGAAAAGCCTCTAAAAGGCACAAAAACCTCCTACTAGCTGCAGCCAATGCTGCTACAGTAGTACCTGAGGCTTCAGGGCAGTGGTGGTGTTCATGACAGAACAGGGTGTTCTGATGTAGTACTACAACGTATAATAACTATTAATAGTTACAGTATTTCGTCGTCGTAGAAAAGTGTTTGCTGGCCACAAAAGTTACTAACGTTATTGTCCTTTTGTGCTGAATCGCCAAATTTGTTGATCGATATTCTTTGTACTGAATTTTGTATGTAAAAGAGTTGTCCGGTGGTGATTGACATCATACTAATTGAAGTCACACACTAATTTCACGTTGATGATGGTTTCCTGCAATCGGATTGGCTAAATCTTACTGCCGATTCTTGTGTCCATTTGGTTGTGTTCCAATGTCGCTCCAGTTTAGAAGAAACCCAACAATATCATATTCCCAAATGTACATACAAAAAAGGAACACTTGAAACGTAGGGGCAAGCCCTCGCCAGGCTTTGTGTATTTACAGTCGCGCAGTATTATCTCGAGTCCTTGGTGGATAGGACCTCTGCTTCATCAACACAGGATTCGGGTGAGAAATATGTACTGTACACAAATTCCAGTGGCATGCATCATCCGGACAGGTGGGTACCTGTCCGGATGGCTGGCTTGATCACCCTCGGGCCGATCGTCGGCAACTCTGGAGGAGTCGTGGAGTCGTCGTTTGTACGAACTAGAGTCACCATCGACTCCAAAAACGTGCCAAAGCTGTGCCAGCCACACGTTTGGGCAACGTGTTCGTCGGCGTGCGCTTGCCTCGCGACCAACACTCCGTTCACCTTCCACGTACAAATAAACTCCTTGGGGCGCGGTTGCGTGTCGTGCGCGACCTATATACCAACCATATCAGCATCATATATATATATATGGATATTATTAGACACTTGCCAAATCGGGAAACGTCAGCACCAAGTCGACCGCCGCCTCCGTCAGCGACAGCCCCATGTCGCGCCGCCGACTGGCAAACCGGCCCACGATGCGCGAGAACGACCGGTGCAAACTCTCGACGGATGCTTCGAACGCCCTCACGCCATTCTCTTTGACTTTGCCGTACGGCGCGCCTTTTTCCGCTTCTGATTGGACAGTGTACACCCCAATGTGAATTCGGACCACGCCCCCCATGCCCGGGATCGAAATGTGTTCCGTCTTGGCCTTACATACATACACATCAAATACAACACATTAGAACTGACACCATCCACCAATAAGACTAGACTTATCACACACACCCAAATGTATACATTGTACTGGGACGTATCTAGAAAACGTACGATAATGTCGGGGGCGACAGATTGCTGGCCGAGAATGTTGCCCCCCCGCACAAATGCCGCCACATTCTCCGTCAAGCTCTTGCGATGGGTGAAAATCCGTCGGATAAACTCGCGCGTCTGTTGGATTTCCATCGCTTGCGTCAAGTTGGGTGACGTCGACATGTCCATGGCAAGTGCGGCCGCCGGGGGCACGACGGGGGCGTTCACTTTCCAAGGCGTGGGCACCGCCAGTCTTGGATGGGATGACGACGACGATGTGGCGGCGGCAGTCGTTGGCTTGAGGGACGGATAAGTCGAGTGGGGGCCGACGTCGTCGGTGCTGCGCGCTCGTTTCATGGTTCCTTTCTTGGACGAGGCATGCTCGAACGAGTGTGTGTCTTGCGACCGCTGCCGTTTCAACGACGCAACGTTCACAGGAGGTGTGGTCTGGCTTTTTCTCGACAACATGTCTGGTCGAGGGGTAGTTGATGGCGTCGATGCAGCAGTGGGGGGTGGTCGAGGACGCCCAGGCACGGCGGAAAACGCTGGTGGCTTTGGAGGGGGGGGGGGTCGGTTGGTGGTTTGCGTTGCTGCCGTTGAAGTCGCGGTCAACGTTGGGGCCTTCTTGGCAGAGATGATCGAGGTGGACCTCGTGTCAAAGGGGGGTGGGATCGGGTCTTTGAACGACAACAAGTCAGCGTCTGGATTCGTCTCTGAAGAGGCAGCGACCATCGCCGCGTCAGACGGCACGGCGGCGCCGGGTACGACCACCTCCCGAAACCCGTCGCGGGTCTTGATCAGGAGGCTGCCCTCCAATGGTTGCAAGATCACTTGGCGCATCGCCGACTGCTGCTGCTGCTGCCGCTCCTGAAACAACTGCGGAGACGCCAAGTCGTCCTTGGACATGGTCATGAGTGCCTCGGGGGTGATCACTTCTGTGGTAATGTCTGCACGCAACTCGGCATTCGACGCTAGATTCGACCGGAGCTGCCGCGCATGGTCGAGGAAACTGCGGCGAAACTTTTGCGGTGCTTCGCCGGCGTTGCTGAAGCGTAGGTCGACCCAGTGCCGCACCAGCGCTTTTGTGATCTGCTCAGCAAACACTTTGGCGACGGGGGTCGTCACGTCCTGCTGCAGCGCGGCTTCGTACCAGTTGAGAATCGCGTTCAAGTTCTTCTCCTTCTCCTGACCTAGCCACTTGAGGTCCACGGTGGGAAAGTCCAGCACCCACGACAGGTTGCGCGATAGTGCCGACGACATCGACGAGTTGTGGGAGGACCTCGGGGAGGGCGGGACGACGGCCGGTGCAGTCGCGGAGGTCGGCGGGCGGACAAGCGACGAATGGGCGATCGGCAGCGGTTTCTGCAGCTGCAGCGCCATCCACACCTTGGTCTTGTCCATGAGCCGGATTTCACGAGACAGGTCGACGCCTTTCCGAAGCCCCGCCACCCGCTTCGTGACAAACTCTAGGATTTCTTTCTGACGCTCTAAGATCGTCTTGATCACGTCCTCTTCGAGCACGCTGAGTTTGTACTCGGACGCGCGGTTGCGCAAGCCATGGCGGCGCGTGTCCAGCGCGTTCACAAGCTGCTGGATGCGACGGAGGCGCTGCTGCGCTTCACTGTTGGGCTTCTTTCGCAACCGCACAAACTGAAGCTGGGCTGGTCGCGGAAGCTTTTGAATCCGCGTCGTCACGTCCGACACCATCAAGTCCTCCATGGTCAAGTTCGTCTTGTTCATGCTCACGAGGTAGTCGCCCTTCTCCATCTGAAACCGACCTCGACCGTGTACCACTGACTTATTCGTGTCGGCCACGACGTACAGCCCATTGGCCTCGCGCACGAACGCTGCGCCCAACGCCGGACCAGTCAACTCGATCGTGTACTTTGTGCCTTCGTCCTGAAGTCGCTGTACACACCATCGAACCTCCTTTCGCCACAGACGCAGCTCCGCCATGAACTCTGCGAACTCGGCGTCATCTACATAAGGTTCATAGTACGTAGTCATGTCCACAGCGCGCCGCCTGTCGCCGCCACTGGTTCAGTTGCAGACCGACGACCTAGTTGGGGGCAACAGTATAATAAATCGCTATTGTAGTCCGAAGCTGCTGATTGGTTTATTTCAAACGTTCACAACGTGTTTGGTTGAAAAATAGAATCATGAAGTATTCTACGACGTTCGGGGCACTTTCCTGTATTTCAATCGCCACTTCCAGGCAGAGCCAAATGACCTGTTGGACTCGCAAGTGGAATACAGTAGTAGCGCACGCACCGAGCGATCGAGCGTCGTGAAGCTCAGAAGTGAATTTGATGGTGGCACCGATATCTCGAATTTTCTATATAACGTAAAAAACCAATTTAAGATAACTTTTTTGGAGGCGTCGGAGTAGAATGGACATAACTTTTGAGTCCGTTGCGATATTTGAATTTTGAATAGTGATTCCAATAGATAAGACGCGCCTCTTTGACTTCATAATCGAACTATCAGTTTAGGCGATGAACTTCACAGATAAATTTGTTACTTTCTAAGCATTTGTACTCACATTTTGATAACCAATTTAGGATAACTTTTTTTATCTTAAAGTATGTATGTGTCTGAGCATTGAAATTCTGTGTTTAGGGTATGCGGTTACAACAGGTTGCATATAATTTATTCAAGGGTACTGTTTTATAGAGTTAAATTTCTGTTGTGGATGGATGTCCATCGAGTTTAACACTCGACAAAACCTCAGATCCAACCCAATGTGGCCCGTGTCGACTAGGGAACTTCAAACCCAATCTTGAATGACTATTACCAATGGCTTCTACGCCGTTTTTGCATTTCATTCACGTGACGGAATGGCCAGCATTATATGATAGAGGTTTTGACTCGAACAAATAACGAGGTGTGATTGGGCAATACAAAGTTATCCTAAATTGGGTTATCTTAAATTGGTTTTTTATGTTACAGATATACTACTTACTGTATTGTGTGTTATCACAAATACCCAAATACCCGTCCATTTGTCCGGCGTTTGGATCGTCATGACAGGCGTTCGAAACAAGCACTCGTTTCATGGATAAGATATCATGATGCAGCATGGCTTGCTCAAGGAAGGACCCCACGCCAAGGCCGAAGGACGAGGAGATGTTAGCGGTGGGGGCAACCGATCTGCAGACACCACCCCAAACCACACCACGCCCATGTTTCGTCCGCGCTACTACTCCTCCACGACACATGTTCCCAAGGGATCCACTGCGAACCACGCAGCTCACAGACCAGTATACCATGGTCATCAACCACCAGTTGATCCAACGTCTCCGACGTCTGTGTACAACTCGAGGCGGCGGGAAGGTTTGCTGGCGTCGCATGTTCCTTTCCATGATACATTGCCGCCATCCTCAACACAGCCCCCTCCCGCGTTTCATTCAAGTGAAGACTTCCGCCAACGGGTCGCAGCCGACATGCGCATCAGTAACACGACGTGGCGAGATGAATGCACAGACCAAGAGCGTGAGAGCAACCGGTGCCGAATAGTGACCGCCCTGCGCAACCACGCGCCAACGTATGAGGAACTGCTCGTCATTGTGTCTGCGATCGACGAAGAATTGCTGCATATCACCAGTCGTGCAAAGCTGCAGTATTTTGACAGCGCCATGGACTTTCATCGGACGCTTGCGTCGGGATGCACCGCGTCCTCGACTATACCGCTTCATCGCGGCAATGGTCTGCGGTGAACTGCATGGCTACCTTAGGCGGCTACGGTTCCGGTGCAACCACTTATGGCAAACCCCAGGGCGTATTCGACAAACCTTGAATCTTTCTACACGTTTTCGCAGTTAAAGTGGACCAATGTGCCGTTATGCGTGATCATAGCATTGATTGAGACCCAAGAGACATCACCACAGTTTTTGGTCACGTCCTTCATATTCCAGTACATGATATCGCTACAAAGTCCATTTTGAATGCCGATAGCACGCCATTGGCACCGCTTATGACTGCAAACTGTAGTGTACTTTGCAAAAGTTGCATGATAGATTTGGTCACAACCCAGACGCCATAGCTGTAAAGATCTGACTGACGTCCTTCGACTTCCCTCCAGGGACACATATGACAATGGTCACATTCATCAAGAGTAGGCTTCGAATGTAACGTCTGAACGGTCAAACGGTTTCACTTGCAAAGATTGCACAACACCCCGACTTGGTCTATGCTCCACCACCACGAGATCCGAGGCATGGGCGACCGACTGTCGGCAGCGCGGGACCTTTGCATCGGCTCGAGCTACGACGAAGGGATTAACATGTACCGGGACGTCCTCACCCAGCTTAAACCTGCGATCAAGCGAGTGTCACAGGGAAAGGAACGGCAAGATTGGTTGCAAGTACAGTACCTGAAGACGTATCGTATCGAAGCCACATTGTCTAAACCCTCACGAGTGCAGGTCCAAAGCGATTTGGAAAGCGAACTGGGGGCCATGATGGACTACGTGGACGCCCTGCACACCCTGAAACAGAACGCGCCAGTTCAAAAAAGCCAAAGGCCACGCTCCAGTACGCCAGCCGACCGCCCCAAGTCTGGCAACCGATGGCAGGGCGTGGACAACAAACGGGGAGATGTACTTACGCCACGCACTATGACTTGGCTGGTCTTGACTTCTTGACGACCATATGGCAGGACCAAGGGGGGGCTGCCGACCCCGACGTGTGGGCCCCCCCGTCCCCCGACGCCGGCCGAGGTCGACGAGGAGGCCCCGCAGCTGCTGCCGCCCCCAACTGGGCTGACAAGCAGAAATAGTACACCCCATGTATCCATCAAATGGTTCTAACTGGCATTAGCAATAACAATCATCGCGTCAAAGCAACGCCGCCTGCCCGATTGGCGAACCGCGCCCCTCCACCCGAAAAAGGTATGCACGTAAATTGTTGGCCAAACCGAAACAATGCCAAATGCCTGGTAGCAAACTACTTGGACCACCGCAAGCAATCAGCCCCAGCAGCGGCGGCAAATGGTCGACCTGGCCCGACGCCTCGCAAGAGCAGCGCCCCCACCGGCGGCCAGCAAGGCACCCCCTCCAAAGACAAGCTCAAGTCCGTATAAGTGCATGGACCCACCAACACACGATTTGACGGCAAGTGTGCGCTGTAGAAAAGCCGCGGACGGCGAAAAGCCCAAGTACTCGGAGGTGGCGCGCGAGCAAGGCTGGTGCGACGTCGAGCTCATCGAAGGCATCGAGCGCGACATCGTAGACACGGGGCCCAAGATCACGTTCGACGACATCGCAGGGCTCGAGCACACCAAGGAACTGCTCCAGGAAGCGGTGATGCTCCCCCAGATCGCCCCCCATCTCTTCAAAGCACGTCCCCCCGTTCATCTCCAACACCAAAAACCCGAACAAACGTCCCTGTTTGTGGCATTTAGGATGGCCGGTTGAAGCCGTGCAATGGCGTGCTGATGTTTGGTCCCCCTGGCACGGGCAAGACGCTGCTGGCCAAGGCGGTCGCAAACGTGTGCAACAGCACGTTCTTCAACGTGTCGGCGTCGACGCTAGCGTCCAAGTACCGCGGCGAGTCGGAGAAAATGGTGCGCATTTTGTTTGAAATGGCGCGGTACTACTCGCCTGCGATCATCTTTATGGACGAAATCGACGCGATTGCCGGCGCCCGCGGCGGCGCCGAAGAGCACGAGTCGTCTCGACGGTACGCAAGTTGCTTTTGGCATGTGCCAAGGAACCAATTACAAGGACGGTGGAAGGGTCAAGACGGAGCTGCTCGTTCAAATCAACGGCGTCGGGTCGGGCGAGAAGTCGGACGTGGAAAACAATCGCGTGATGGTGCTGGCGGCCACCAACCTGCCGTGGCAGATTGACGAAGCCATGCGCCGCCGCCTCACCAAGCGCGTGTGTACGTACATGAGTGCCTTTGCATCTAGCGAAGGGGGCATAATGAAGACGGATTGTGGACTAGACATCCCGCTCCCAGACGTCAACGGGCGCCGGGCGCTGTTCAATTTGAACCTCAAACGGGTGGACGTGGCGCCAGACGTCGACTACGACCGTCTGGCCACCCAAACCGAGGTAAGTTTCTTTCCGTTCCAATTCCCATTGTCGCATATCATCATGTGTGACGGGATTGGGGGTGGGGTAGGGATACAGTGGCGACGACATTTGCGGCGTGTGCGAGACAGGTACAGAGGGAGAGGGGGAGAGAGAGGGAGTGGTGTAGTTGTCTTGTTATGGGCAACCATCATTTGGTGAACATTGATTGGGTGTAGCCAAGATGTTTCCTGTCAAGCGCTTGTACACTCCAGAGTTTATGAAGGAGGTAGGTTCACCATCGTCACACCTTCTATCCATTGTCCTGCTACTATACTGTAAAACGAAAGCTAAATATGTTTATGTACTGCTGCAGTTGGCGTTGAAGAAGACGCAAGGGTTTGGTGACGACGAGATTCGAGCGATGGAGAAGAACGGGCTGGTCGTGACCATGGTGCGAGTGCGGTCATGCGATAGATACGGTTTGTTCAACTTGTTTTTGCGTAGAACGACATCGTGATGGCTCTCGAGAACGTGTCCAAGTCGGTGGGGCAGGACCAGCTGGTGCGCTTTCAAAAGTGGGAAGAAGAGTTTGGTTCAAAGTAGCCACATTTACAAGTTGGCAGGGTACAACATCACTCAAAATCATCATGTTGTTGTGCATCAAACGTCCCCCTTTTGCATTTTAATTTGAACCAAATGCGTCATGATGTCCAATATATTTGGCAGCGTGCCACGTCATGCATCCACTTGAACCTCAACCTGATAGTTCGTTCCCATTCCATAGCAAGTTGGTTTCATGGGTTAGAGCCCTTCTACCTTCTACCCCACTTAGCCCAATCGAGTCTACCCTTGAATATTTCACAGTGTCGTACTAAACCATGGATGGCTACGGATTGCTCTTGTACAGTGTCCCCTCGTCGTCGCCTGTCTCATGGCGCGGGGTGGGTTGGTGCACCGGGTTATGTCGAAACAAACTGAGCGCTTCCAAGTTCATGGCCGACACCCCACGCAGAAACACTCGGCGCACGTCTTCTTCCTACATACCGCATGCACACATCAGCTACCCCAACCATATATCCATCCGCCGTGTTCGTCTCCGTGTTGCTCCACTCGGCTTGTCAAAGCAACTAGCGAGCCGACGTACCAACCGCACTTGCTCCAGCTGATACACTTCGATCTCTGTGTGGGCTCTCGCCAACTCATCCCGAAGCTACGCCAGTGAATCCATCAAACACGTATGTCCGTGATGAAATCGTCACCGTCACTCGATGGGTCTGTACCGCTTGCAGGTCTGCAACATGCTGGTCTTGGAGGGTGTCAATGGCCATCTCGTGATGGACTCGACTGTGCTCTACCTGCCGAGCTCGTTGCAATGACTGCGTGTACCGTCTCCATGCTTCGAACGGCCTCCTCGGCATTCGCTACGTCCACATCACAGCCATGGTTTTCGCTCGCTGGTGGTCGTACCTGTCTGTGAAGGGTCTGGGCTTGTCGGAGGCGAAGCTCTTTGAACATGCGCTGGCGGCTGTACAAGTGCCACGCGTGTAAGATTCGAAGGAGGCTTTGTGGACTCCCAAAGTGCCGATCCTGTTCCCAACTCATAACGTTAGCATGGCAGATCGTGAGCATCTGGCCATCCATCCATTCAGCGGACCACGGTGGGGGCAGCAGGGTTCGTACATGCAAGTGCGATTTGGTGGCGTGATGGGTGGCCAGCCGAAGCAGCATGAGCTTTTGCACTTTTACACGGTTTGTCATGTCGTCTAACGTTGTGCGCAACGCAGCTAAAGAGTTCTGCATGCATATCAATAATATCAATGGCGCTGTGATTGGATCTTGTAAAGATGATTGGTTCCTTTACTTGGGCGTGGGCTTCTCGCTCTACGGCGACGGCCGCTTGGCTGTTGATCTGACGATCGTGGTCGTTTCGTAGTCGTGTTTGCAGGTCGTCGAAGAGCGCCTGATGCGACACTGTTAATGACTTGAACAACACGCCACGATAAGAATCGTACCAGAGTAGTTTGCACCATCGCTGTGTGGTGCTGCTCCATCATGGACGAAAACAGCGTGGCTTCATTGGATGGAGGAAAGACCAGTACTTCGGTGGCCCGCAGGCTTTCTCTTGTGTCGACACGGCTAGGAAATGGATCAGTCGCGGCGTGATCGACATGGCATATTAAACCTGACATCGCTTCCACTATCACGATGAAAACTATCGTCGTTGCCTGAGTCGGTTGGCTTGGAGCTACTGCGGCTTTGTCAAAGTAAGCTTGCGTACTTGTTATGATCGGGTGATGACAAGGTAACGTACGCATAGGCTCTTGTAAGCGACGGTTCCTCCTCAAGTCCATCTTTCTCGAGCAAGTCGATAGCGGCGAGGTGGGATCTCAACGACAACACAGCCGCGGCATCACTGCCATCACTCGTCATACCTTTGGTGATTCCCAAATCCAAACAAAAACCGTTTCAGAGTGTTGGGGTGATATCCGGACATTTATCCGGACATCCCAGAATAAGTTAAATAAGTTAATGAGGTGGCAGTCACTGGGTCGTCGGCTGCTGCGACAGCGACACTCGTGACGGCGCGGTCGGTTGCTTCGAGAGCGATGCACGTGATGGCGTAGTCGGTCGCGTCACCGAGCCTCGGGAAGCTGCGAGTTTATGCAGGATGCGGGACCCTTCCCCCATGAGTTCGACGTTCTGGAAGAAGGGGTTGCGCCGGCGAGCATCGAGGAGCAGGTTCTCGAGCTCAATAGCGGCCTTGGACTGCTTGCTCTTGACCGACGCGGTCGACTTGTACACAGCTGTGGGAAAGTACTTGGCGACGATCGCCTCCTTCTTGGGTGCTTTGTCCGTCTACATAGTTCAACTGGTTGAGCACGCGCACGGAGCACTGTCAGTGTACCTGCACAAAGTAGGTCGAGATCACTTCCGTGTCGCCAATGCTGATCTCGCCGCGAGGTTCAAACTGGTACTGAGATGATGCTTGCTGCAGGATCCTGTGCGTCGCGTCCGAGATCTGGATGCGGCCGGGGATGCTCTTGGACTCCATGCTGTTGGCCACGACCGTCTGGCTGCCCCAGATCAGGTACCGCGGCTTCTTGATGCCCACGACGCCGCCCACGACCTTGCCCGTGTGAATCCCAATGCGCATCTGCAAATGCACGTTTTCACTGCGCCGAAACTCGTCCATTTCTCGAAGCATTTCCACGGCAAACGCAGTGATGGCCACCGCATGGTTCTTCTCACTCTTGTAGTTGGGCAGCCCTAACGTTATGGCAACGTCGTCACACATGGCACTTTGGAACTACAATGTCGTTGAAACCCAACGAGTAATACAACAACATCGTAGCAACCCCAAAAGACAAATGTCCACGAGTCGACAACAATCAGGAACGGACACTGACAGCTAATTCATAGAAGCAAAGTGAAGTGGTTACAAAGCGTCCACTAGTGGTCGCACATACCCTTGCCAGCCGCCATCAAATCAAATGAAAACCATCCAATGTACAGAACCAAAGTGCCCGGCAACTAGTGTACACACCACGACCATGGATCAAGTGAAACACATAAAACGATATCAATATTTCGAATGACATTATCCCCCCCCCCTATGGCGTCAACTAGTTCGAACTTACCCCCAATAACAATGAAAGCGTCGCCGACTGTGTCCATCTTGTACACACCAAACGCGTCCAAGTGGCGATCGAACGCCGAGTATACTTTGTTGAGGAAGAGGCACGACTCGACCGGTTTCAAGGTCGAGCTGAGTGCGGTGAAGCCGACCATGTCCGAGTACAGCAGCGTCACGTCGTTGAGCTCGTCCACAATCGTGCCATTGAGAAGCAGCGCCTCGGCGTATTCAGGAGACGGCAGCATGTTGGCCAACAGCTCCTACGGGCATGGAATCATCAGCATGAGTACAAGTCTCATTTCGTGGAGGGTGGGTGGGGTATTTATTATTGTGAATTCGCTATAAACTTGCAAAATTGTCTCATCAATATTGAATCGCGCCGGAGTTGTGATTGGTTGAATATATCCTTGTCCATTCTGCAAGAGCCAATCCAATCCACTCAAAAATGGATTAGCCAATAGCGTCGATTCGTGATTGGGTCTGGAAAAATTCATGTCGAATCCACAATACCTCGCACTTCTTCTTTTCCACGTTGAGCATGTGCTTGAGTAAAAAGTCCGTGCGGAGGCCAACTTCGCGGCGGTAGCACGAATATTGGCCGATGGTGGTGCAAAAAATCGTGATGACCAGAAACCCAATTACGTTGCGGATGTCGTGGTGGCAGTAGACGAGCAAAATCAGGTACAGCACCAAGCTATGCCATTTTGTCAGTGCAAAGTGATCCCACATATATAGGACAAGAGGGGATGGTGGGGGTATGTATGTACATGGTGCAGTTGATCGTGGCCGATGTGACAAAGCGGAAGCGCATGAGCAGACTCACAATCGTAATGTAAATCAAGTTCAAGTTGAGAAAGTTGCTGGTGGGGCTCAGCACCAAGTTGAAGTTGAGCGCAGCAAACACGAGCCCCACGACTACGCCGGACACGGTCTGCATCCGGGAGAGGAACATGCGGCGGTAGCTGTACGCAAACAAGCCGCTGAGCAGCACCACCCCCGAAAGGTTGAGTGTCATGGCACCGCTGCTTTGAGACGCGCCTTCTGCAGTCATCGCAGTGGCTCCCAGCACCCCGCCATTCTACAATCGTACATTGCTGAGTCGCCGATCCCGAGTCTTGCATGCACGATGCAATGTCAACCATATATTGCTTGCCCCCAAAATCACAAGCATTCCGTACCAGAATGGCCGCAACTGTTAGCACGCCAATACCGGCCCCGAGTGCCCATCGAAACTGCGTCAAGTTGGCCATGTTGTAGTCGACAATGAACGAGATTTCCATGCGCCGCTCCAGCGCTGACCGCCGTCGCTTGCTCATGGGGACTTTGACCTGGAACGCCAGCGTCCGTTTGTTCATCTCGAGCGACTCGACGTCCGACTTAGCGGGCTCGGTGGACGACGTCGTGGGCGACCCTGGCTTGTTGGCGCGGGGGGCCGACGCCACCGCCTTGTCCTCGGCCAACTCGAAGCGCGACGTCATCCCAAACGGATCGCGGCGCACGGGGCGGAGGATCTTGCGCTCCAGCCAGTACAACATGAGCTCCCCCTTGCCCTTGAGCGGAATCTTCCCCCGCGGAACTATGTCGTAGCACGCCGACCGCGACAACAACGCAAACGTGCGCTCGCTGATCTGAATCTTGCCTGGTTTGGACGACGAACACACGCGAGACGACGTGTTGACTGTGTCCCCAAACAAGTGATAGCTGTACGCTTTCGAGCCTATGGTCACATCACACATAAGTCCATTGGGGACGGTGAGAGTTACTACATACCGATGACCCCCGCAACGACCGGGCCGCTGTGGATGCCGATTTTCAACCGAATGAGTTCGCCGTTGCACACCCATTTCTCCTGCTCTTGGATGTACATCATCGTGAGCGCCATGTCGGCAATCTTTTCGTGGTGGAGCGGGTCCTTCACCGGCACCCCCGCGGCGCACATGTACGTTTCGGCAATCGCTTCGACTTTGTACACGCCACGCGAGTCGGTGGCCTTGTCAAAGCAAAAGAAGATGCGGTTCATGAGCTGCACGAGTTCGATCGCCGATGTTGTTTTCGACAACCGGCCAAAGTCGCTCACGTAGCAAAACAAAATCGACACCTAGTGTAACACGCGGTGTCGTTGGTTTCCAACGAACGAACGACTAACGAACGAACGACCAATGCACCTCGTCGAATTGCTCGGCCAATTGGTCGGTACGGTTCTCCTTGAGGCTTTCTTTGATATGCGCGGGCAGCATCGTCTCAAGCAAGTCGTCGCGTCGTTTGCGGTCCTCGGTGACATTGCACCGCAGCACAAATTCCTTTCGTATGTGCCGCTCGCTGTTGTACGCAGACAGCATGCAAAAACACGTCAAGATGGGGCCGTACGCCAGCTACAAGATGGATGTTTCAGTACGAGGACCTCCAAAGGAAGGCGATGTCTATACCTGTGGATCTTGGAGTTGGGGGTGGTCACGATATAGGGTCAATGGCACGGCGATCATCAACGAAATGTGGAACCAAGCGCAAGCGGTAGACATAATGAACGTCATGCCGCTAGCGTTGAAGAGAATGGAAATGTAGATCAGCGAAATCGCTTGAGACCACCTGCCGGCGAAAAAGAAGTACATGTCGTCCTCGGTGGTCGCGGTAGAACCACCGGCACCCGCCCACCGAAGCGACGATTCAAAGAAGACGCTCGTGGCCACGACAAGGGTACCGAGCAGGGCGTAGTACGACATCATCCACGCTTCAAAGCGCGGCTGGAAGCTCGGCCGCCTCGTTCCGCGAAGAAACGCGAGGGTCACAAGCACGATCGACACGCGAGCGAGCACGAGGCACCCTTCGTGGGGCGCGCTGTAGCCGCACATGTACTCGATCACCCCCATGACGACATGCAGCATGATGGAGATCCACCCGCCCATGCGCACTTTGCCCAGCACGTAGTGACGGTAGTGCTTACGAAACACTTCTTCTAGATGCGGGTCGGAAAACCGACACGAGATCGGTCGCATGTCGGCGTCGTACGCGCGGGTCTGCATGGTCGTGCCACCCAAGTAGTTGGGCACGGTCTTTGAGAGCAGGTCGGTCACTTTGCGATCGCTAGGTTTTTCCCTGGACGCTACGAAGCTGCTTCGCCGTCGCCCACCCGAGTTGATTCGGGCTGTGGCGGTGGACGCGCCGACTAATAACGGGGGTTCGTAATACGATGTCGTGGTCACGTCGTCTCCTCCGCATGGCATCACTTTGTTGAGCTTTCGCTTCGTGGCAGACTTACTGGGCGGCTGAGACTGTGTCTGCTGATGTCCCCCCGGTGGGATCAGCCCCACTGCAGGCGACGCCATCCCACACGCTCGACTACGAAGGGGCGACTCGGGTATTATTATTAGCCACAGTCAAAACGGTTTTGGGCAACTCGATATATATGCGAAACGACGCACCAACAATATGACGATTGCCCATTGCGATACATCGTCGTTCGGGCGTGTTGACATTGATGGATATGTATGTGAGGAAGCAATGGTGAGGAGTCAATGAGAAATGCACAAGATACTGGGGCGTCGAAATATTGACTTCGGTCATCATGGCGTCACGTAATACGATGGACTGGGCCCGTCACGTTGTTCAACGGTCGCAATGCATTACGAAATATACTTCCCTGGGACGAGACGTTGAGAACTACAACTGGCATATGGACCACAAAGGGAGACACGGCGTTTAGTTGTGAACACGTCCCACTTCCCCCCTTAGATGCGTTATTGAGCATGGGGAGCTGATTGAGTTGCCACTTCGCTCTTTGCCATGAAACGATCAGACAAGTTGCGCGCCTTGGACTCGACGTGGACTCCAGACGAGGTGCGTTGTCGAGGTCTTCTAAAGCAGTAACATGCAATAGGACGACATCCTCCGTCACGCGGTGTTCGAACACGGAGGCAAGAAGTGGAAGGTGATTGCGATGGAGTTTCGACCCCCTCGCACGCCCAGCGACTGCCAGCACCGGTGGAATTATCTGCAGAACCACGGAACCAATGACAAGCAAGCATGGAGTGCCGCCGAGGACGACAGGATGGTGAAACTCATTCACAAGTACGGCGCAGGCAAGTGGGCGGTGATTGCGTCGTACCTTCCAGGTCGCAATGGAAAGCAATGTCGCGAACGGTACCATTCGATTTCATATACCCACCTGCTTGAGTCGTCTGTGTTGTTTAAAAGGTGGCACAATCAACTCAATCCTGCGATTAATAAGACCCCGTGGACCGACGAAGAAAATGAGATAATTCTGCATATGCAGGCCACATATGGAAATCGATGGGCCAAGATTGCTGAGCGATTGAGGGGTCGGTATGTCACTCTAGCTGGTGTGGCGATTGAGCGTTCACAATTGAACCGATACCTCCCACCTAGAACGGACAACGCGATCAAGAACCACTGGCACTCGTCCATGAAGGTACGAAGGCTGTCGTGTGTCAAGTGCATATTGACCTTTTGCGGATGTAGCCCCAGTTGAAAAAGGCTCACAAAGGCGTGGTTAATCCATACCAAGCACGCAAAGTCCAGCTCCCCTCGCCCCCAAAAGCTACAATGACGACACCTGCTCCACCAAAAGCCACCACCATTCCGCCCCTGGCAGCCCCCAAAGCCCCCCTCATTTTGACAACCTCCCGCTCTCGTGCGACGCCGAATACGCGAATCAAACAGGAGCCAAAGGAGGAATCTCCTCCCATTCCTTTCAAGCCTCCGGCCCCACCCTGCGCCGAGCCTTCAGGGTCATTGTCGCCCATCGTTGTCTCCCAGTTTGACTGGAGCACCACCACACACACGTCGTTGGACAATTGGCTGGAAGATCTGCCCGACGACAACTCGTTGCTTGCGCTACCGTTGGCAGATGCGGCGTTCTTCGCCATGCCCGATTATGTATTTGCCCACTCCTTTGACGTGGACGCCATCGACATGACTGATTTCGTGGAACTGATGTTGGGTACAAGTCGTAATAATAATCGTTGTTGCTAACTGATGTGTTGTAGCTGACGAAATCATGTAGCCACAGACTGCCCGTGGCGTGTGCTGTGTGTCCTCTGCGTAGCGTCCCAACGTTAACATAACACGGAATTTTCGTTGAATTAGGTCCCGACGCTATGTTTGGGGGGGGATCGACAGGCCCCCGTTCGCATCCCCGATACAAAACTTGGCAGCGCTAGGGTTGGTGTGGACGGTGTCCGCTTCCGCATGCGGTCTGCTTTGGTGGATTCCCAGTCCACCCATGTCTTTCTAGGAGCTTTGTCGAACGCAGGACGGGCAGAAACAGTTTTTTCTGACGAAAGCTTCCAACCTTCTAGCGATGTCATTGGGGTGGATAAAACTTGGTTTGGGGACGAGAGCAATTTCGAGGAGGGTGTGACGACTCGTTGAGGGCTGTAGGGGAACACGGGGAATGGACGAGGGTGCTTGGTTTCTTGATCCCATGCTGAAGGGGCTGAATTGTACGAGCCCGGTCCGACTGTTGGGGCTGTTCGAGGGACTTCTTGGAAACGCTCGGAGGTGTCCCACATCGACGAACCCCACATCGACACTACATGCAATCATGAGTTAGTTGTATGAGAGGAGGGGGGAGTATAGCCGTACTGTGCACGCGGTAGCTCATGGTTTGCACGGTCGTATCGTACACGCGGTCTAAACTGGGCGTATACATGACGCTGTGCTTCAAGTCGTCTAGCCGTGGCTCACAGCCCATCCTTGGGCCAGAAGTGCTCCACGTCCGCCTGGATTCGGCCTCAGTGCCCATGGACGACCGGAGTTTGCTGTCGTAATGCACGGGCTGGAGCATCTTGTCTGTGAAACACGTTGACCGGAAGGCTGGGTACGGGTGTTTCTTTCGGCTGCGGGGGGGTAGTAATTCTTTGGCCAGCGTAGAGAGGGACGCACTGTCTCGAAGCTGTTTTGACTGTTCTTTGGGAGGACGATTTTTCTTCTTGGTCGTTGTCGCCCCCGCGTGGTGTGGTTGCACAGAGTGCGACTCGGCAGGGTGCGCCAAATCGAGAGGGGGCTCATGCAGAACAACATTGTGGTCGTCGTGGCCGTCAGATGAAGTGCCAGTGGGGTGGAGTTCGACGTGTAATGTCGCGTCAGCACGAAGGGTTTCAACTGTACCTGCCATCGCGTGCCAGCGGGATAAAGTCCAGGTAATGCTGGTACTATTTTTAGGCTACATACCAGTACGGTATTGGTATTATAGGCTGCTTGATTGGAATTGCATACAGTAACGTTAGGGGTTCACTATGTTTGTAGCCTCTCGTACTAAACTAGAGGTTGGTGCTACTTTGCCTACAGTCTGTAGTCAAGGGGGCATGCTCCATTAATGTCCATACCCGTATGCGACCCGTGCGGAAAGATGGGGAATTGGAGGAGGAGGCTCCATCATTACATATCACAGCCGTATTTTATCCATGAGAATACCGGTAACATTACCGGTAATTTCGAGTAACTGCTAGTAGATCTTAGGAGGAAAACGGGGGTGCATACCGTAACACCTCAGTCGTTGGTGAAGTTTTGACCGCTGGGATCTGGTCGGAGATCACGTGAGTCGGCAACGTGCGACTGGGTGAGTTCCGCGCTTCTTCATGTACTACAGTCGCCAACGTGCATCATGTCATACACATTTTCTCATAGACGAGGCTTCACTCTTTCACGTGACTCAACTTGTACTCAGATATTCTGAGCATTACAAGCTACTACTGTAGTATCCTTGATCACGCACAACATGAACCTCAGAATTGCTTAGAGTTAGTTTTTCGTCCACTGGGAGATGCGGGAACTGGACGCAAACTCATCACACGAAGTTATGTAAGGGCAAAAGCGAGGCATGCATGGTTGGCGAAAGCAAAATTTGGAAATTATTCCGAGTCACCCAACTTGTTGGACAGGGACTTTGGCTTAAGCTCACTGCAAGAGGTGCCTTGCATTCAGAAAGTCGCGCTGTTTCAGTTTGAAAACTGAGCAGTTCCGGATATTCTATTACATTTGCGGATGATATATGGTGTTGCGCATGTGCATGTGGTTGGACGGCATGTCGACATGCGCAAATACACTAACTAGTTATCGAAAATGGACGAACTTCGATGTCACTTTTCTCCAGCTGTGGAATACTCAGCGCGATCCTACTGATACTACAAGATAGTCCATTACTAGCTCAGCCTATGCAGCATGGTCTACGCATGCACAGCTCGCTCTGGCACGAGGCATCATAACCGCATGTACACGCTTAATGTTGAAATACGACGACGACTTGGGCAAGTTCGAAGGTGTCTTTCTCAAAGCTGTTGATTCAGGCGACATGCAATAATGTGTTGTTGATGATTCTGTGTTGGTTGTTGTAGTTATGAGGAATGAAGAGTTTCGTGACCCGTTGTGCAGTATGCATTGAGAAATCGCTGACCGTGTCGCGCCTTTCCCGCATGTGCGTGCGCCAGGATGTATAAATCATCGTCGCAAAGCGTAAATAATTCTGGGGCTGAATAACAATACGCATACATCATACGAATATCAACATAAAGATGTTCTGGGACAATAATAATATGTACCTGTCGGACGTCATTTGACTCCGTGGAAGTTAGCAGATTCAGTTCCTGGTTGACTCGCACGTGACAGCGTGAATAAAGGTGCATGTATCCCCTCGACAATGGCACACCATGACTTGAACGAATCAAGGACCTTGCTGCTATTCTTCAGTTACTGATGTGTTCGTGTCCTGTTTCCATGGGCAATTTGCCAAATAATTTGCCAACTTTTCCATCTACAATTGGTAGTTTAATTCTTGTCCGATTTGGCGTCCCGTTGATTAAACCCAGTACTTTCCACCAATCAGATGCTGATACTAATGTGTCGCATCGTTATGGAACCCGCAATATTGCCCACTTCGCCTTCCTCCCTTCATGCACGTCCACGCGGCGGTCGTGCTCGTGCTCCTCACCGCACTGGCGCTGCCATCGACCTGTCAAGACTCCGATTCACCAACAGACACCTCAAGTTCCACAGACGCAAGCGGCTTTCCAGATATTGTTGTCTTCTCGACAGGCCGTACCTCCACATCAACAACTATGCGGAACGAGACAACCACCAAGCCAGCAACGGCCCCTGCCGAATCGACCGGTTACGCGGCAGCCTCCGTCCCGAACTTGGCGGCGGAACCAAAACCATCGGCCGATAGTTCCACCACGACGATCTTGCTGTCGATTGCCGTGGGATTGGTAGCGTCTGTCGGGGCTGCCGTCGTCGTCGTGACTCGCCGACGAAGCGCCCAGCTCGACAATTTAGACATGTTGTCTTCTCGCAAAGATCTCGAGGTGGCCAACATCGACCAGCCCGACCATTACCACAACAAGGACGGATGCAACGACGACCTGTACTCGGTGCATGGGATGAGCACTCGCGGAGGCAGCGCGTACAGGGCCCACGGCGCGTTTGCTTCCAAGGCCATGCGAAGCAGCAACATCCTTGGACCGTTCGCCCACCAGCCGCCCTCGACACACCTTCCGCGGACCCTCGACGACGGCGTGTCGTTCGCGAACTCTTCGATTATCAACCAAACAACGACCCATGCTACGTCGTTGAGCGTCGTGGACGATGCCGACCCCCCCGAGGACGAAGTCATGTGCACCATGATCAGTGTCGACAGCATGGTATACCTGGACACGGCGCACTTGCTGCAGTCGATCACGTCCAACATCCCTCTACCGTCGACGATAGGATCCGACACGTACATTGTCGGCGACGACGACGAAGATGAAGACCACAACATGTCCGAGTACGTCATGTGACACTGCGTAGCCGCAAACCCCCATTATTTAATGACACAGTCTGTATTGTCAGCTAAACACGTTGCCAGAGGAATGGCTGCATGACTGGTTTGCATACTCCACATATGCCGACCTCCCTCACTGGGACTACTGGAGCCAAGGAGGGAGATAGATCCCAACTATCTCCCGGGAACTTGGAGGAATGACACGCATTGAACGTTGTGGTCGACTTGCCGGTAGTGTTGACTATGGGTCGGCTGATCCGTCGATGGTTTGGCCAACGCGATTCACTTACAAGCGAAGAACTACGTGACAGTGTGGCCACGGATGGTTCCTTTGCAAATATAACACGTGACCTGCATCAGGTCGGCGATGATTTCCCCAAGATGACAAGGTTAAACTTGAACCCGTGGCCAAACAACCTCGCCGCGACCACGACATGTGCATGCGACGGATGGGTGTCGAGGACGAAACGGCCCGTGGAGTCGGGGGATATCTTGTACATGCAAAGGGCGATGGCGCGGGGCGGCAGGCACAATCGGATGCCATCTCGGATCATCGCTTCCTCGTGAGAAGGAACGGCCGTGCGGTGTCTAGGGTGGAATGAACCCGTAGGGCATGTTGAAGCAAGGCATGCTTATTGACTTTGCTTGCAGGTCTTGGTCGCCGTATGCCGTGATAGGGACGAAAGAATAGGAGGAAGTAAGGGTTTACAAGTGAGTTATTGAAGGTTAAGCTAGCTAGGAGTCTGACAGCCAGTGGTTCGAAGGCCACAGCTGGGTAAACTAATATGTAGTCCTGTATGCAATGTATCTACAGTGTACTTTCTGAAGATGGGAATTGATTGGCCGTTGAGTGTCGTGTGGTCGTAACGTCTCGTCCCGATGCGCCTTTAGTAATGCGTCTATGGGCAAAAACCACAATACAGCGCGCAATCGACGGCACGTCCAAACAGACGCAAAAAGCGGTGCACGGTCATCACACCGGCGGCTGGAAGGACGGACGAAGTCCGGGTCGCGCTGGCTTCGACGCCACGACGCGGTCTTCGCCACTGATCGCAGCGAGTTCCCCCACAACTGGTAGCTGTGCGCCAAGAGCGACACGTATACGTATAGGTGGGGTGTTCCGCGTACGCCTATCGAATGAGGCGGCGCTCTTTCCGTCGAAGATTCCACGCGCATGAGCCATGCCATACTGCTCGATGCCTAGGACAGAGAGACCACGATAGGCCACACTGAAGCATGCGTTGTGTGCCCATGCACAGGACGATCATCGTAACCATGCGTCATTCCAGCTTCACCATTCTGGTTTGGTCACGACGTTCTTGTATATCCGGACAATGCCTCTTTATCCGGTATTCAAGTACTAGTAAATTTCGTTCCACTCTCGAAAGGTCATCAGCATGGCGCGAGAGGACGAGCGTGCGCGTATCTTGGACAGTTTGGAGCATACGGCCGTGCTCATCAAGCAAAGCGAGGGGGAGGCGGATGGCTACCATGCAGCGTACTTCCTCCAAGAGAAAGATGACGAAGACGTGTTGAACAGCTCCCACCTTTTCCTTCCGACGTCCACAGCGCACTGCATGCGCTTGAGTGACCTGGGGATTCAAAAGTGCGCCCAAATCTTCCATCGATTTGACGACGATCGCGATGGAGTGTGGGGTTTCGTCGAGTTCAAGGCATACGTGACCGTGCTGCGGGGAGCGCTGGCAGGAAGGGTAAGCGGTTCGCTCAATTTGATTCTTGTGACATGCATGGCCTCCAACATCTTGTCTTCTCCAGGACCCATTGCGAGTCATCCTTCAACACGAAGAAGTGTGGAATATGTACATGAGCGACTTGTACGAGACAGACAGCAACGGACACCTCACGCTTCGCGTACGTGGACTTCATGAGCATAGTACAGTATGTCCAGTGACGAGTGATGGAGGTAGGGATTCTGCATGTATCGTGAAGCCACCGAATCGATCAATAGTTTGGCAACCGACCTCATTTGTTTGGGCATGCATTGGCTATGGGATGGTTTACAACGCCACATTCACCTCCAGCGATTGTTCGACTCGTACGACATCCACCGCGCTGGTACGTCGCGTCCACATGTATATGGTGGTTTCCTCGCCAAAAAAGGCAGTCTCCTCAAGCTGAGCTGTCTCCAGGAAAGGTGCCCATCCATCAACTGCCCTACCTTCTTGGCGAAAGCGGCGTTGTCACATCTCAAACCCAAGTTCGTGTGTTTGTTTCGTACTTTGCGGCTCAGTGTTTCTTTCTTGTCCAAGGTGGACGCGTTGGTGCATCATGTGCATGCTCATTTTGCGTGCATGGATGCGATTCTCCAGCGAAACCGCGCCATCCGACTCTTTGGCTACAAGCAGCTGTCCCGTGTAAATAGCTGTGACACTGACCACATCTATCGAGATGCGTTCGTGGCCGTGCGCTTGTCGATGTGGACCCCGTCGCCACCACCGGTTCGTGGGGCGTGTTGCATGACGCTCTTGATATATACTTTTGTTGGTGTATGTAGCGATGGCAGCAGGTGACCCAACGCATCAAGCTGCGCACGTTTGGCTGGATCCGCCGCGCAAAGTTGGCCACAACCAAGGTTGCCACGTGGATTCAACGAGCGGCCTTGACAGGGCTGCTCAATCGTACGAGTTGCCTTGTAACTCGTTGTGGGGATTTCACGTTTTGGGTGGTGACTAGTCACCTACTTGACTGGAAACGCCGACGACAACCACAGCGACCGCGGCGACTACGTACTCAAAGTGGACGTGGGCAAAGATTTTGCCGCGCACGCCGAGCTCCAACTGTCGTACACGGCCGATTGCGATTGTATTGAAGCATGTCGGCCCATGTTGTCGTGATTGTTGATGGATAGTTGTTGTAGCGTCTGCGACGCTGTACAACCTGGGATACCGCGAAGACGGCGCCGAATGTTTTGTGTACCTTGACTTTCTCACCAAGGCAGACATCACCGACGTTGAACTGAACGATACGATTGCAGCCATGTCTACTTTGCTCGACGTTGGCTTCCACGACCACCTCCAGTCGCTTCCATGGTTTCACAAAGCCCTCGGTAAACCACCCGTGTACTTAAGAAGTCCAAGACCATTGTGTTGACCATGACATTTGGTGGGTGTCTAGTGGTGTCGCCACCCAAAACCCATGCCCACAGCGGCGGTGGCTCTGGGATCGTCCGCGTCGTTATCTTGCTCACGGACGCGCTGGATCCGTTCAACCTGTTGCTGTTTCTTGGGTTTCCGCCATCTCTCCAGTTCGACCACCTGCTCAGTCGACTTCGATGGAACGCCATGTTGAATGTGTCTCTCCACGATATCTTCACCAACAAACGATTCAATGCCGCCAAGCACTTTGCCCTGCGATCGGCGTTGAACGTGTGTGTCGGTCGGCAAGCCTGTGGCCAAACGGTGCAGGTACTTACATATATATATATACTACTATGTATATATTTGTGTTGGATATATATCACTTTATGTGTAACCCCGTCGATCGACGGCAAAAGACTAAAGAGTGGTTGTAGCAAGCCTGTTGCCAAGCTAAATACGAATCGTCAGCTCGAGATACCGAGGACGAGATCATTCGGCAGGAGCTGCGTCAGCACAGCCGCCACGTCACGGTCCCAACCCCCAACAAGCTCGACCCACGGGTAGCCCTGGCTTGGAAAGACCAGAGCCAACGAAACCAACGCGAGGGGGCTGGACGATGGCACGAGTGGGCTGCCAACATCGCCTCATTTCTTAAACATGCCAAGGTTGGATTGCTCTCCAAATGACCAAACCTGAACATGCTCACCACATGTAGACCATGAACGTCAATGTGCACGTGGCTACGATCGCCGACCTCATTCACGGCGACTCGGTGCTGCACACGCTCTTCCATCGAGACACTATCAAGGACGTACGACCGACGAAATATGGTGAAGTCGAGATAGTACACATGATCGGGTACTTGTGTAGGCCCTGCGCGTCTGTTTCACGACAGGTTCCCTTCATGCATTGTGGACCGAATGGTCGACATCGTTGGAGAACGAGCTCCACGAGATGTTTCAAAGGACGTGTAGGGATGTCCCGTCCACTGCTACAACTTGGTTTCGGCAAGAGCATGCCCTACACAAGTCCCTCTTGCACGTTTACGACACGATCACGTCCAACTTAATTGGCCTCAACGTCGTCAAAGGCGAAGCTGGCACGATTGGCATGACGCTCTTGCTAGAGGGTTTCAACGTGTTGCCTCTGCTGCCCAAACTCCACACCACGCGCACGCAAGATAATGCTTAACTACAAATCCAGTTTCGACTATGCATATGTGCAACACTGTGATACTACTCCTGTGCAGTCTACGGCTCGTCCCAGCTAGACATGCTCAGGTGGTTGTCGCCTCTCGTACTTCGCTTCGTCGTGGGGCGTGGCGACGTCGATTCCCCGCCCGATGACTTGAAGCTAATGGCAGAATCGCACTCGTGGTCGTTGGCAGTACTGATATAGCTCGCTTGGTGGGTGTCATACATGAGGTTGTGCCCTTGGCGGTTCATGTGCAGGCGCTGCGCCGGATCCAACCTGCTGAGGCTCTCGACACTGCTGCCGCCAGTCATCCCATGTCGCAGCGGCATGGCCATCTTGGGATGGTGCGCAGCGACTGACGAGTCTGCCAGTGAAGCTTGGTACCATCCATTGTGGCGCATGCCTTCGTGGTTGACCTCAGTCTGCAACGACGACAATCGTGCCCGACGAGCCTGGTAGTCTGCCGTGGAGCCCGGGGACGGAAACGCATGACGCTGCCACTGGGCTTTGAATCCGGATGAAAACTCGGACGCGGGGCGGTTTGGGTTAGTCCAAATAGACATGGAGGGGGAGCGTGGGGGTCCAGACGGCGCGTGCGAGTCGTTGTCGACCGTGGCGTCGTCAAATGTCCACGCAGTGGACTGCATATTTTGAAGGTACTGCAAACTCATTTGTCGATAGCGACGACGATAGTAGGCTACGACGGCGGCCGTCACAAGCACAGCAAGAACACCTGCGACTATCGCGACGATGGCGCTCACAGGAAAGCTCGTGGCTTGGGGGGTGGACGGGGTTCCGGTCGTAGGATCTGTGCATGATTACATTAGTAAGTGATGTGATAGGGAATCCTGAATACTGTACCAAATGCTTCGAACAGCGTTGTGGAGGGTGGAGCTATGTCCCCCCAAGGTAGGTCGGCAGATTCCACACTTGGTAACGTTGTAGGGACCAGTACCGGTGCTGGTGGAATAGGGCTTGATGTTGGCGTCTTCGGCAGCGGTGTGGTAGGTAGTAGAGGGGCGGGGGTGCTTGTTGTTGCGAGTGACGTTGTTGGAAGCAATGTTGATTGGGTGGATGAAGACGTGGGGGATGAAGTAGGCGAAGGAGTGGGCGATGGAGTAGGGGAAGTCGTTGTGGTCACAACAGCAGTGGACACGGCCAGTGTTGTCGTGGGGGGAAGTGTCGTTACACGTGGCGTTGTTGGTGTGGGGGTCGTAACTGTGGGGCGAGGAGTTGAACCAGCGGACGTGGTTTCAGTACTTGAGCTAGGGGAGGTGGGAAGGGTGCTTGGAGGTGTTGGCGTTCGAGACTGTCGAGGACGGGCGGTTCGACGTTGAGGGGAGATTCGTTCAGGCGCTGTAGTAGGGGCTGGGACCACATCGCCTTCGTCCGAGATTCCGTCGACTGTAAGATCGTCAACCTGGAGCACGCGACGAGGACTTGATAGCACCATGTTGGGACTTCAAACGAAGTAGAACAATGATTCACGTACCGTCCTGCGATGGTATTAGGAGAATAGTCCTGACAGGCCAGGTGAACAGCATGGCCATTCCATCCGTCTACCGTTTATTCTTGAGTGTGCTGCATGAACAAGAACATGTACATTTTATTAAGTGCAAGGCATGCCACCTCCCCTAACACTTTTCATTCTTGCCGAGCGACAAATGTGTTCCATGGTATATACTGCTGTACAGTAGTACCCCAACACGATAACAAAAAAATTCCGCCCGTTTAACAAAGGCGCAATGAACCACAGCTTAAATAGGGCGTCAAGTGCTTCGATGCGCATGCAATTTCTACTGCAAGAAATGTTACAGTGGCGTTATATCGTTACAGTACATACGTAGGGATATATATGTACAAGCACTACAGTATAGTTGGTGCATAATCATACAGTAACTTGGTTCTGTACAGTACAGTACGTACTCACAGTCAACTCAATAGAATGTACCTGCCGTCAAGTGGACGACACATCCAATGGCGGACAACCCTCCCAGCTGAATACTTTTGGCACTGTACTACTATCTGAACATCAGAAGTTCAAAGTGAGAAGGTGAAAGGGGGATTTGATGTTCCTAGGGGCAATATGTGTTTGCTGTACTACCAGTAAGTTCTACATCAGATTTCACACCATGCACTTCGTACGTTACACTATACAAATACCTAGTGCATGAAATTGCCCGCCATATGGAAGATCGCCATGTGGAATGTAATTCTAGTAGTACTATCGTTGGAATAGTAAGGTAAGTCATACCACCAGTACGGCCGTACTAGTAGACCCACTAGTAGGGACATTTGTGGCAGTTTGTCACGCTGCCAATGCTGCCAATGCTGCCAATGCTGTGCATAGGGTGTTGGCTATCCAATTCACCACTTCCGGCTTTCCTACGACGATAATGCGCGTTGGTAGCATCGTCCTTGCCGCCGTCATGGCCACCACGATGGCTGGATCAGGTACGTTCTAAGCCCGAGTTGATGAATCCTCTCATTGACAAACAGTGTCCACAGCAAACCTCCGAGCGCTTCAGGACACCTCACCGATTGTGACGACAACAACCTCCACACCAACCACATCCGCTACGACGACCACCACCCGAACACCAACTGCGACCACAGCGACCCCGACTACTTCTGTGCCCGCCACAACGATTCCTTCGACGCCGAAGCCACCAACCACTTCTTCGCCGTCCACAACGTCGTCCACGTCGCCGTCCACTACTGCACCTACAACCACTCCCCCCGCACCCACCACGTCTGCACTGTCCCAGTCCACAACGATTCCTTCGACGCCAAAGCCAACGACCACTTCTTCGCCATCCACAACGTTGTCCAAGTCGCAGGATCCCCAAAAACCACCGGCTACTACTACTACTACTACGCCCTCCACCGATGCGCCAATCGTGACCAACCCAGTGGTGGATAGTCCTTTGATCATCGTCACCGACACGGTTACGACCACATCCAAGCCCACTCTGGGTCTGGCGTCGACTGACAAGGGTACGAGCACTGGCACCTACCTCGGCATCGGCGCCGGTGTTCTCGCCGGCCTTGGTCTCATCGGAGCCATCATTTACTTTCTCCTCAAGCGTCAAAACGATGACAACAACGACGACGATCAAGTGTCCCCTGGGTTTAAGGACCTCGGCAACGACCCGACCTACGGCGCGCCCGCCCCAGCCGCCTACAAAGCGAACCCCCCACCTCAAAAGTACGAACCAACCAAACTGGCCCCTGCTAACTACACCGTTCACGAGCCCCAGCCGCAACCCAGCCCATCGCCGGTGCCCATCCTCCAGGCGCCAACGGTAGAGTACCACAACATTCACACCAACAACTCGACGATCTTGAACACGTTCCGCTCTGCCCAAGAAGACAACGACTTCGAGGAAGCTCACCCTCATGGGTCGAACAGACACATGAACGAAGGCGGGGCGTACGGAGGTGGCGGCAAAGTCTGGACAAGCGCCAAGCACGAAGACTCGCACGGTGAAGTCGGCTTTGACCCCGAGTTTGAGTCTAGCAGCTACAACAGCAGTGCCAACCAGTCCGCGTTCAACGATGATTATGACTTGCAGAGCGAAGGCAGCCGCGACAGCAGCTTTGGCACGCGCAACAGCTTCCAGAGCCACATGAGCTCGGACTTGGACCACAACGACTTTCCTGTGCACAAAGAGCCTAGCGCGGCAGAACGTGGCTCGTACGAATTGTAATCAACTGCCGACCTATAATACCGTGCCTTTGGATCATGTACTAACAAGTGTGAAATGCCGTTCAAGCCTCCTCGCCGTGCAGGACTTTGCCGTACGTACAGTCCTGTACTGTAGACTCCGACGCGGTCGCCATTAACGCCAGTGTCAACACCGCGGCAATTGCGGTGGTAAAATTGTGAATGCTTGCCACCCAAGTGGTTTAATATTTTAGCGTCATGGGTAGTTTAACGTGAAGTTTGCCTTCTACCATTAAACTGGTTGTTCAAATCGGTCACCTACAAACTCCCTGTAAATCACTTTGAGCGTTAATTTGATAGCTTGGCCATTCGCCAAATATTTGCCACAACAAAGGTAATAGGTATATATATATATTATATATACCAACCTACTGTACCAACACTGTATGTACGGACTACGTATATGTACTGATAGCATTTGGAACGCCTTGCAAGGTTTTACATTGTCACATTGATTCACAAATTGTTGCATTGGAAAGTCGTCAGGCCAGGCCATTGCTGAACAGCTAGACCGTCATGGGTTGACTTCGCATAAAACGGGCTGGTTTGCGGGCAAATATTTGACCTGCGTTCAATATTAGTGCTTGTCGGAGATCTACAGTACTTGAGCACGTGTAGAAATGGCCGCCATATGACAACTAGTATGCTCAACTACTACTAGTACAGCGAAGTACTTCAAGTAACTATTACTTCGACGTACTAACAGTAGTTAGTACTACTACTACGTACTACGCAATACGTGGTACTACGTAGTATTTTCTACGACCACCCTAATATTTAACGTGCAAAAGTACGACTACATACGAGTAAAAGATAAAACGTGTTACTACTTACTGTTTGTACAAAGTTGACATGGCGCGATTTTGATAAAACACGTATTTTACGGTTGTTTAAACGTATCAAACTTGACATGTACTATTAGTATGACGCGATGCGACATTCAAAGTTCGTCTGGCTCGCCCTCATTTCACAATTTCACTGCGAGCACGTCGCACGCAGTACTTTACACCATGAAGTTCATACCAATCCTCTTTTCATTACTGCTGATGGCACTCGGCCAAAATGCGACCAACCCACCCACGCCTACCATCACAGCGCCGTCCACCACAGTTGCACAACCCGTTACACTTGCACCCACGACGACTCCTCCGGCCACTCCCGCGCCCACCACTACGTCACCTCCAGTAATCACGTCACCTCCAGCAACCACGTCGCCTCCAGCAACCACGTCGCCTCCAGTAACCACGTCGTCTCCTGTAACCACGTCTCCTCCAGTAACCACATCACCTCCAGCAACCACATCACCTCCAATAACCACATCACCTCCAGTAACCACTACGCCTCCAGAAACCACCACGCCTCCAGTGACCACTTCGCCTCCAGTGACCACATCACCTCCAGTAACCACCACGCCTCCAGCAACCACGACTGCTACTACTTTGGCGCCACCTACCACGGCACCAGTCACTGAAACGTCTGCGCCCGTGACCACCGCGGCTCCTGTAACAACTGCGCCAGCAACGACCATAGAAACAATCACAACAACTCCTGCCCTTTCCACACCGTCGCTTCGACCGGTGACCACGTCCATGAGCACACCCACCAAGACACCAGACACGACCGTGACTCCAACGACAACAAATGCGACTGGAAACATTGCGGCCTCGCCGCCCGCGCCAACAGCCATGCCAGTTGAAAGTACCGCCAACTCGAACGTGATTTGGATCGTTCTGGGCGGTGTCATCGG